AAAAAAAAAAAAAAAAAAAAAACGGGCTGGAACCCGGTTAAAACCCGTAAACGGATTACCGGGCTAGCCGGGTTTCGGTGCACCGGTAGCCCAAAAAGGCCCAACCCCGTCCGGCACAACCCTTACCGTAGCCAACCCATCCCACCCATTACTGACCCGGACTGAACTGGATCGAACCGGATTGTTAGTGGGTTGTCCGGCCCGTTTAACACATTTAGTTTCGACTAACAAAAGAAGTTAGTTAGTGGAAAGTGTACTAAAGTGATGAAATAACCTTAGCTTTAATTTATAGAACATTTACTCTTCAACTCTTACACTATTAGCCAAGGACCAATATACCCTATGGCAGTAATGCGTTGAAACATCCAGCCTATCAATATACCCTATGGCATTTTAAAGTTTTTTAACATTGCCAGTACTTAATTAAACTATATGTACGTATATAGAGCAGTAAAAGAGAAATGCCAGCATATGGGTGATTCACTTCTGGGACAAGTATGACGGCATAGGAGCACGCAAAGCTAAACTATTCATAAGCTATATAGGCCAGGAAAAATAGGGAATGATGATGCCACACAAGCTGCGGGACCTTTCGCTATATATATTTAAATCACTGCTATGTACATTTTACGGTCTAATCAGCTATCAACTACTCCATATGACTTTGGTTATCATATTTTTTATAAGGTAATGATGTTTTCAAATTATTCTTCTACCCTTTTATTTTAACATAAATGTCTTAGTCTGACTTCGTACAAATGTTAAGAAAGACTGAAAATATGGTTTATTTGTAATATTTAATAATGGAATTACACATATAGGCATGCATGCTACTTTTTGTAAATGCAGAACCATGTATCTGAGTCCTGAGAGGACAAGACCATAATAAGAAGAAAAAAATTGTATATAGAAAAGGAGTTCTTGGTCTAATTTGGTTAAGCATTATGACGTGGAATGAAGGTAAAAAGTTGAAATAAAACAAATAATTGATGTTCCATAGATCAATAAGCAAAGAAATCTGACCTAGTAGTATTTCGCGGAATATCTCCTATTTTAGTAAACTTGAGAGTTATCGATAGCTCGATCATCTTTATTTTAAAGGTTTATCGAGGTGAAACTTTTAACATATACTCTTTTATTATTTGTAGATAGTAATAGTCAGAAGGATAAACTTAACAAACTGCCAAACAAAGATTAGTATGATGTGGTAGGAAGGTAAAAAGGTGAAATAAAGTACTAATTAAGAATTGGTGTTGCAGATCAACAAGCAAAATAAATGTGACAGTAATAGTAAAAAGGATAAGCTTCAACAATCTACACAAGCAGATCGGTCATATCTATTTATTATAGTAATCCATTATAAAATTAGCAGATCGGTCATTTTTCACAAACAAACTTTTAGCACCTAAGATTCGGGCAAGTTCACTGTTGCATAATAAATTAATGCAAAAAGGTGCACCTATTCTTTTAAAGCACTGTATTTTGGGCAATTTAGGTATTTAATCCTCCAAGTTAAGCAAAAATAACTCTTAATCCAAATCCAAATTACGTAATTCCCATATAAATAATAAGTATATATGTGGCAAAGTTCATAGCTTTAAACTGTCACAGAATCTGAGCAGAAATTGTGCAACATGCCAGCTGATAATGGTACTCTCTCAGATAAAAACTCCAGAATAGAAGAAGAAGAATTTGATGAAGGGAAAGAAAATGATGAAGAAGAAAAAGTTATAAAGATATGGGATTGTGGGAGTCCCTTATATGACTCCTATGAATTTGTAGCTCTCAGCCATTTAATTGATAGGCATCTTATGGAATTACCATGTCTAAGTGGATCAAGAAAAGAGACTTATGAATCTTCTCAAAAGGCAAAATCAAGAATTGAAGAGGTTACAACTTCGAAGAATAAGCTGATCAAAGGGTCTTTAATGGTGAGGTTTCACAATGGTTCAATGGAGAAGATAAAAGAGAAGGATATTGCTGATGGAGAAAGAAGAAAGAAGATGAAATGGGGGATTGTTAAAATTTGCAGCAGGATTATTTCTTGGAAGAAAATTAAATAAAGATCACTTAAATAGGTATATGCTTAATCTATTATCATTCTCTTTTTGTATGTTATTTCTGTTATAAAGGGCTGTCTGATTTTAATAAATCACCATGGAGCAAACTGATCAATTAAGATTTTGGTTTTTCCTAAAATTATCTGATTTTTATTTCGCTTTTATGAGCATGAATATGGTATGTCGGTTATATTCGGAATTTGTGGGTATCTAAAAGAAAGGGTTCTTTATTTTTATCTACTTTCTCTCATTTTAAAATAGTCAAACTAACTGTTGGAAACTAACCATAATTAGCCGTTGGAGCAACACCTATATAAATATGGTTTTTGGAGAGCTAAAGACATACTTTTTAACACAACTTTTTGAATCTTCTTCTCTCTCCTATACGCTGAGTTTCTTGTTTAAATTTTCTGTTAGTTCTTTTTCCAATTTAATAAATGAAAAAGCTTGTTGAATACCGAGGAATACGCCTGATTTTATTCTTTAATGTGTGAGCAAAATATCTTTAAGGACGAAATCTTTGACACACCTCAAACATTGATAACTCATATTCTCCATAATCAAAATTTTCCACATGTTATATCTTACAATAGTGTTTTGGTTCAATATCTTACATATAAAATATTGGGCATGCAAGTTTGAAACGAGGCTTAAGTAAATTGTTACTCCATTAACACCAAACTTCTATCAATAAAGATAGGCCAAATAGATGTACGATCCCTTAAACTTGGCTCCAATTTCTATTTTGACACATTAATTAAGTCCATTACCTATTGAACACTTTAACCTAAATCAATATATGCTTATTAAACACAAAAATTGACATGGCAAGAGAGTTGTATTTCATCCCCTCTTACGCGCGTGATTTTAATGGGTTTGAGATCATTTTTTTTTTGTTTAAATTAAAATTGACTTTTTTTTCTAAAGGCCACCCATAACCACCTGATCCCCGACGAGTAACGAAAGCAAAAGAAGAACGTCAATAAATTTTATTACCAGAATTAATGAAGATCGCCGGAAAAGTCAGAACTCCGGCCAGGTCCAAAGAGGCGACAAGCAACAGTAATATGTTATCAAGATTTTAACATTTACACATCAACTACGAAATCAGTAATAGACAGAACACGAACGAATCTCCGATACCACAATGATGGAATATCAGAAATGGTGATAAATGTCGCCTATTTTAATAGTAGCCCCCGAAATATTAAATGTCCGGTTACTTCTTTTAGTTCTACTCTTTTATCCGCTAAAACAACAACGAAACAAAATAATAGAGATGAAGGAGGAAAGGAAATGAGCAATGGCCGGTGGTTGCTAGAATCGCCAGATACTTTTTTGTTTCTTCCCTTTTTTTTCTCAACTTGGATTGCTAGAAGGAATTTTCAACCCAAAAAAGAAAGGAAAAAAATTGACATAAATTTCTCCTTTCCCTAGATCTGAAAATCCAAAAACGGTACCAGTATTTTTTTCTTTTGGCAGATGAAAACGGTAGTCTTCTGGTGGTTGAAGAGCCAAGGAGATTGGTGAAGGCAGAGGTGGGTTTCTATGGAAGGGGCTGGTGGGATTCCATGGAATGAAAAAAGAAAGGGGGTAGTTGGGAAGAAGGTGACGA